GCTCTGGAAATTGTTATTGAATATGTCAATGCTGTTGTAATGAAATGCCTCTTCTAATTATGTGGTTATTAAATAAATAATAAAACAAAAAACAAAAAAGCCATAAGTAATTCTCTATTTCATATTTGAGATTATTTCAGAATTACTAATTTTTAAAAACCATCAAGTGGAGTCCATGCTTTCCACACTGTGGATCAAACACCCTGTGCTGCTTCTGATGCTGGTGCTGTAGTTCATGCCATACCTGCCACTGCCCCTTTTCTCCTGTAACTGCTTCATCCTAGGTCCTGAATCAATAAGTTTTGGGAATTGTTATAAAATATGAACTTCGGCTTAGATGAGTTTTGTAATATGACTTCTTAAAAATGAAGATAATGACACTTGCTTTTTCTTTTTTGTAGTAAGTGTTTTGAATTATGCTATTGATTTAAACAATGCCATTTCAGAGAAATAATGTGTGCCACAATAAATACGGCCAACAACTCTATGGTGATTCAATGTAGAGATAGTAAATGAGATTTAAAATAAATATTTTAAAGACTTCTTAGAATCAAAGCCTGAATCACAAATTAACTGAGGCCTGGGACAGAGCACTTGGCCAGCAGATGCTAGTAAAGAGGGTCGCTTCATAGTCTTCCAGTTCTAAAGGGGCTGTGCATGTAGCAACGTCCACCAACAGTGAAGCTTGTCCTGTGGGCTCTGAGGTTTCTGACTGGAGCCGTGTGGTGGAGAGAAGAAGAGGAAGGAGAGGGAAGAAGGGTTCCTGCAGCGGCGTGGCTCCTCCTTGGTGGAGGGTAGCTGGACCTTACCTTGGGCCTTCTTGAGAGGCTGGCACAGGCTGCTGTCTTCTGTCTCCTGTCTCTTATCCACTGATCTAAAATATGCCTAGGCCAGCCTAGTTAGTGTCACAGAGTTGGGGGTGGAGGTAACTATGCAAATGAGCAGATGGGACATAAAAGCTTCATTTACTTCACTGACCATTGAATTTATGGAGCTGAAATCCTGATGGATTAATATTTGATAGAAGTTGTCAGATAATTGTTTTAGTCCTCTGCCAATATTGACTAGCGTACTTAGGATTTTGGAGCTCCTACTTCCTGTCCTGCATCCAATAGTGGCTTGTTCTTATGCTGCTACTCATGAACCCTGTTTTGCTCACTTGTACTTACTGCAATTTTGCAGTTTGCAAGAGTGTAAATGCAGTCTTGTAGTGTGTTATATCCGTGTGTTATCTCTGTTAACTACAATGCCCCATTTAAATTTTCGCGTATGTATGTTATATGCATGTGTGTGTGTGTGTGTGTATGTATGTGTGCCGTCCAGCTTTGGGGATTCCCCTTTCTCTTGCTGTAGGAGCACTAAGATTACAGGTGCATGTGACATACTCGACTTTATGTGGGTTTACTCAAGTCCCCTCATCTCCCCAGCCACACAGTGTCCTCTTAGTTGGCAAACATACCTTTACTCTCCCTTTTCATCTTTATCCTCAGCTCCAGTTAAAACCTGTTCAAAACAGCAGGGCCTGGCGAGATGGCCCAATGGGTCAAGGTGCTCTTCAGCAAGCCTGACAATCTGAATTAGATCCCTGCACCCACATGTGGAGATAACTGACTCCAGAAAGTTGTTCTTTAATGTCAACACATGTGCAGTAGCATGCAATACCCACATCCCTACACACAAAATAAATAAATGCAGTAAAATAAATGAAAAGGAACAGCTGGATGAGACCCTCCATCTGTGTTAGTAAGCTGATGGATTTGAGAAAGAATGTAGTTCCAAGCTGTGTATTGAAGAAGAGAACCCATCCTGACATTTAGGTGGCCACCTTGGGCTTTTTAACATTACTTATTGAACTACATCCTTCCTCTTATAAGTGTATGTTGAAACAATTGATATTCCCATTGAGCATACTTTATGGGGAAGAATATTTTATGACTACTCTTTTTTAATTAAAATATAAAAGATGGCTAAATGAGTATTTAATGAGTTTAGTACACCTGTTAGACAAGCTTCCATATTTTCTTCTCTACTCTTATCAAATAAGGATTTACGTTTCTTATAAAGATAGAACGATGGCACACATTACTTGGGAAGTTTCCGTAATACTCAGTGTCATTGCTGTCTCTGAAGGAGCTTATTTAAAACCAGTTTGTCGATTGTAACGTCATGAGTGCATTGATAGAAAACGTAGCTACACCATCTCTCCTTCCACGCCCTCTTCCCGTTCCCCTGCCACACATATGCTTATTATGTGCATAAGACATTAAAAAGCACAGCGAGGGAATGATGTATGGAGTCAGTGCACAGTTAGAGTGACCCAAGGCCTAGTAATCAATGTTTATTGTTACATAGGCAATACATGAACAGTTTTGAAAATTGTCTCTTTTTTTCTCAAATACTGAACTTGGAGAGCTCTCTGTATGTTCTTTTCTCTGCAGAAGTGAGGTACAGCAGCGAGCATAGTTTTAGACACTTACATGACCAGGGCTTTTCTGCCCCTTAGTCTGTGTCTTGAGATGTCTTGTCTCTGTTCGACCACATGGTACTTCCCATTTTTTGCCACGTCTGTATGTTTTTCTTTGTTCCAAGTTATGCCCTGAGGTCTTTGTTTTATCAGTATTTTCGATGTGCTCCAGCGAGTATGATGAAAAGAAAACATTTATTTACACTTTCGTACAGTGATTCCAGTAAGCGAAGGCCGCCTGGTCTCTAGCTCCTACACATCAGTGTAGTCATAATAAATGCGCACTTCTGATCTTCTGACACTTTGCAGTGATCTGATGCTTTCACTCCTAGTTCTTATATTTGATTTCTTGAATAATCTTCTTGAAAATGACCTACACATGAAAAAATAAATTATTGGATCCAGGCACACATTGCATGCAGATAAAAAAAGTGTCATTTCTTTGAAGTAATAGAGAATTTTGTGTGCAGATTCATCCAGAAGCCTGTCTAGGTGACTAAATGTAAAAGGAATTCTGCACAAGTGATACGGTAGGAAGCAGGTGAAGAACACAGCCACCACCACCCTGATACTCTGGTTGTGCTTTCGCTTTCGGCTTGACTGACTTATGAATTGCCTGCTGGATTTGTGGATGTACCTGGAAATGGCTATGTAACATCCAATCAGAATCACTAGCACAGCCACGAATAAGCAGCTGTTGACGTAGACGACTGCCGTGTGCCAATTGGCTCCCAAAGGACTTTTGAGTTTCATGCAGTCGTGAATATTTTCCTTAGTTGGTTGGCCATTAGTTAGGATGATGTTTGGCAAGGATAGAACAGCCATGATCACCCAAACACAGATTGACAAGACCTTGGTAAACGTTATGCTATACATGCGAGAGTCACCGAAAGGCTTCACCACCTTTAGATAGCGATCGACGCTAATCAACCCAAGAAACACGATAGATGTGTACATGTTTGCATAGAACAAAACTGAGGTGTATCTGCAGAGGATAAACTCAAAGTACCAAGGTCCAAATCCCGCATCATGGACTATTCGGAATGGGAATGTCAGCGTCATTATGAGGTCAGCCACTACTATGTTTTTGAGATAAAATATGAAGCTGGTTTTATTCCGAATGTGGAAGAAAATCCACACGGCCAGACCATTCAGCAAGATGCTTGCCACGAATATTACAAGGTAAAGCACAGGCAGGATGATGGTGTCAAATTCATTGTGAAGGGTGGCGTTCTTCCCAGGTCCCTCGCTTGTCCTGTTTGCAGAGTGAATCTCCTGGCTGTGCAGCTCATTATCTGCAGAAATGGAGACATGCATGTCAGTGCGCCTGACTCTCTTAGGGCTGAGCTGTTGTTCTGAGTAAGCGGAAAGATCATTTCAAGGGTTTCTATTTTTTAAATTGTATTCTCTCCCCTCCTTCCCTTCCCCGCCCCCACCTCTGTGTGTGTGTGTGTGTGTGTGTCTGTCTGTGAGTGTATGCCACTTATACATGCCAGTGGACGCCAGAAGAGGGAATTAGATCTCCTGAAGCTAAAGTTAGAGGTAGTTATGAGCCACTTGATGTGGGTGCTGAGAACTGATCTTCAGTTCCCTGGAAGAAAAAAAGAAGCATTCTTAACCACTGAGGCATCTCTCCTGTCCCTGCCTCAAAGATTTAAAGAAGCACCTCATTAGTGTTTTGAGAAGCTTAATAATGTGACGTCTGCTTCCTCAGCATATCAAGATCCTTTGAATAAAAATCCCTATTTCTGATTCTTTGTGACAACCTTTTGAAAATAAGAAATACATAATATATATATTTATAGTATATAATAGATAGCATCTATGTGATAAAGCAAATAAGAATAAACATGTAAGACCCTGAGGTTTAATTCAGCATCAGATATTGTTACAGATAGAATCAACAAAACCTGAGGCAGAAAACTGGTTTCTTAGAACAAGAAAATAAACTTGAACATTGAAATTAGTTTAGTGTTGTCTTTGGAAGTCTACCCCCTCTGCACTGCCTCAGTTTTAAGCTATAAAGTCATCTGGAACCAGCAAGGAGTAAAGTAAGCTACTCTGAAGACTTAAGATTTCCTGAGATTTATTTAAGGATCATTGTTAGACATATAAGAAATCTTGGATATTCTTGAATTAAAAAAAAAAATCTTCTTTTTTCAGGAGGAGCAAAGTCCTGTGCAGATCTAGATCTAGCAAACTGATTTTTCTAGGTCTCTTCTCATTGTAGTAGAATGTAAATTGTGGGTATGTACAAACTTACCAGAGATGATCAGTTTTGGATCATTATAATCACCCTTAGGTACTATACATCATCTAATATATTTTTTAGTAAAGTGTTTGTGTAGTTATGAGGATAAATAAGTCTTTCTCTGTAGTTCAGTCAAAACTGATTTTCTCCACTCCTTAGTATTCAAGTTCATTATCAAGGAATACATCAGGTAAAAATAATTATATAGTTTGCTGTTTTTGTTGGTATTTACAAGACTAGATTATACCTACTATTCTTATGAGTTTTTAAAGATCTTTTGGAGTCTTCTTAAATTTTTGGTCCATGTGATTAAAGACTTCTATCATCCCACCACTCTGACATGTAATTAATGGAATGGTGTGCAGACATTTTATTTTTGTGGCAGTCATGAAAGACCTCTCAGTATCTTGTGGGAAGCATGGTTGTAGGAGGGATTCAGGACTCCAGTTTGTGCTGTGAACCCAAACACCACAATTACTAATGCCACCCACTCCTTCTTCCCCAGGACTCCTCCAGCCAAGAGGTAAGCAGGTTGGTAGGGAAGTGCCTGCCCAAGGAGAGCCTCTGAGGATGGCTGGCTGGAGTTCAGTTGTGGCGGTCTTCACACTGTGCTGCTTCCTGATTCTTCCCCTCAGTCTCCTGTCTGACTTCTTTCCCGAATAGGCAGTTGCTGCTCTCAAAGCCTCTTGCCTCTCCAGGTTCCCATGAAGCCCTTTCCCCAGTGACTGTTGACATTTGATCATGCACATTTTGTCATCTGTATTTTTAGAGAACCTGAACTATCAGTTTACAAATTCATGTTTTAGGTACAAGAGTATAAGGAAGATCATTTCTAAAGTTTTATTTCCCACTAATTAATAATAACCATTACTTTTAATTATGCTTTGAATGATTTTTGTTTTAGGGAATAGCGTGATCCTTAGTCATTCACCTGCATGATTGACATTTTTATGTATGTTCGTTTCCTTCTTTGAAGAAGTGAAACAGGAAAGGCAGTTCTGATGGTTGTAATCCCAAGACAGGTTTGGTTCGGTTCTTTTCTTTTCTTTCTGTTTTATGTGTTTGTGTGTATTGCCTGCCATGTTGGTAAGTGTACCTGTGTCGTGCAATGCCCGCGGACGTCAGAAGAGGCTGTCGGATCCCTTGGAACTGGAGTTATGGACAGTCGTTAGCTGCCATGTGGTGCTGGGATTCGAACCTGGGTCTTCTGCAAGAACAACCAGTGTTCTTAACTGCTGAGCCGTGTCTCCACCCCTGGAGACAGGTTCTTACATGACTGCCCGAATGCAAGCACAGCTGTTCTTCAGTAGCCTTAGCCTCTTTCTGATTTTTTTTCCTTTTTTCCTTGCTGTGTTTTTAAAAACTGGTTTTCCTGGCCTAAATCTTCTTACATAGCTTAGTAATTTATACCTAGACTAACCTGTTAATGAGACCCACAGTGTTACTAAGCTTTACAAGTTAAAAGTACCTGGTTCAGCTGCCACTTCTGTGACTGCTGCCAGTTTGAAATATTGCCTCAAACAGTGTCACCCGGCCTGTTTTGGTTTAATAAAGTACTGCAGTTTGGCTGTTTCTGCGCAGAAGATCCAAATCAGTATTAAAGGCAGTAGACACTTAAGAAGTGCCGCTTTAGCACGGCTTAGATATCTCACTTGAATTGATTTACCCAATTAAATTAATAACCATCGCTTTCATCTTACTGGGGATAAAACCCTCAGGGAAGTGCAAGAAACCAAGTACATTTTATGAGAATAAAGGGCTCAGCTGGGGGACAGAATTTAGAAACAACAGCTGCATCAGCTCTGGAGATGATGGCTATACCTTGTAACAGTCACTTGGGAGTAGATTTTCAAAGCCGTTGTAAATGCAGGTCAGTAGAGTGGTTCACTAGCTGAAGCCCACAGGGCGTGGGGTACTTTAGTCCTTAGCGATGGCTCCTTGGAGCTGCACACGTCCATTGTGGACTGGAACTTATCCTTCTACCTCAGTATTCCTGATGGATGTCTCTCTTCTGTATATTATTATTATTAATTATTATTATTATCATTATCATTATTATTATTATTTTGTCCAAATATTCTTGGATGAGGGGCCATCCACTGGAGTATGG